TCGCTAACCACCTCTTCATGGATTATGGGGCATCACTGTGCTTGCCATCCCTGTCTTCCCTCTCAGGGGACTGAGTACCCAGAGTACTGCTGGTTTTACTACTAGATTAAGTTCCAGCTGCGCTTTAGCCCTTCTAATTTTCTCCCTGTACAGCCTCACGGTAGCCCTGTACTACTCCTGAGATGCCTGGCCCTTCTTCCAAAGATCATAAACTCTCTTCTTTTTCCTGAGCTCCAGCCCGAGCTCTCTGTTCAGCCAGGCCGGTCTTCTTCCCTGCCGGCTCGTTTTCTGACACACGGGGATGGCCCGTTCCTGTGCCTTTAAGAGTTCCTTCTTGAAGAATGTCCAGCCTTCCTGGACTCCTTTGACTTTCAGAACTGCCTCCCAAGGAACTCTGCCAACCAATTCCCTAAACAGGCCAAAGTCTCCCCGCCAGAAGTCCAAAGTGGCAGTTCTGCTAGTCCCCCTCCTTGCTTCTCCAAGGACTAAAAACTCTATCATTTAATGATCACTATGCCCAAGACAGCCTCCAACCATTTCATCCCCCACTCTACTAATGAGTTAAAGTGTACTTGTTTTCAATCCTGAGAATAGCTTTTTACGGACCTATTTTCCTTGAATCAGTCTAACCCATTTGGAATCTTCTGATACTTTTCAACCCTCACAGTCTCCTTGGGCAGCATGAAGGCACAGGCCTTGTTTTGTGTAAATTATCTTACCATAATGAAAAGTAGTCTACATGTAGAGAAATTCATAGTCTAGAGTCAACTATGGCCAGCTGTACAGTATAGTATCAGAGGATCTGGATGATGTTGTGTTGTGATACAAATTTCTTTAGCTTGTTGGTGGATGAGTCTTCTGGTAATGCTGGCTTCAGGACTACCTGCATCTGCCCTAGTGCCTTGCAGCCGGTTTGTGTTTTTGATATCTTGCTGCCTCTGGCTCCTTCTGATTGTGTTTTTTCATCATTGAAGCGTACAGTGCTACAAGTGGCTGAGGGCCGAGACTGCAGTGAATAGATGGGCTATTGCACACATGGTTAATCTGGAGATTCCCATTTGCTTTAAATGTTTTCTGGAAATTGGATGACATGATCCATGTCTTCATTTGCTGTTCTTGCAATTTCTATTTGCTAGTACAATCGTGTTTTCTGCCTCAGTGCTCCTCAATTCTTCTGCAATGTCCTGCATTTTCACCATTTTCATTCAAGTTTTCCTGTAAAATGATGTTGGATTCTCCCTGTTTGTACTGAGTTTTTCCTTCTTTGCTTGAAAACATTTTATGTACTCACTTGTTCTGTGAAGTTGCAAGTATGGTAGTCAGACTGGATTATTTTACTATTGTCATGCCTGCCATTTAGATTATAATAATACAGAAATGTTCATATGATTAGAGATGGAAAACAGGAATAATTTTTTACATAGAATTTCTTATGTAAAATCTTCATTTAGCAACTGTTGAAATTAAGTTTCTTCTTTATTGTGCTCATTGGTGATCATTTTGATAGTATTATCCTGTAAAAATACTGCAATGGGGTGACTTCATTCTTGGAGGGCTCTCTTGTTTAGAGTTTTGTAATATGTCAGTTGGACAGACTTTAAACTTACTCTGATTTTATTCTTTGCTCTGTTTTTTAGCTCACAAACAAGGCTCTTAGTAGTAGCAGTCAGACAGAATTAGAAAACCGGCTTCATCAGCTGACAGAAACACTAATTCAGAAGCAAACCATGTTAGAAAGCCTGAGCACAGAGAAAAACTCCCTTGTCTATCAACTGGAACGACTTGAGCAACAGCTGAAGGCTGTCCAAGGCACTAGTGCTAATGGACCTTCCATTAATATGGCAGGAATTGACAGTTCTGAAGGTAACTAAGGAAATATAAAACTTAAAACTCTGTCTTTTCTGCATTTCAGAACTTTGTATTTCCTGATGCCTTTCCCTGAAAGTCTGAGTTTCTAAGGAGGAAAAAAAAAAAAAAGCTGAAAATACTCAGCTTATGGCAGAGACCTTGTCAACAGCAGCCAGTATCATAAAAATAGTTAAGTAGAAGCTCCTCTTTGTGTGTAAATTACTTTAAGTAAACTTAGAGCAAATTGCATCTTTAATTCTCAGTACGCTGGCACTTTCAGAACAATCGTATTTACAAATCCTGTCACAGGTGCAAATAAGTCTCTTTGGGGTTTAAACTGAATGTCAGAAGCAAGTTTTAAGTATTCCCTTGTAAAAAGGGTTTGGGAAGTGAGCAAGAATGGGATACTTCCTTTTGAGAGTTGGTTGGAATTCCAGTTGAAATCAATTTCCTCCTTGTTTTCTGTTTTTCTTGAAAAGCATCTTAAAATATGGTAGTCCTGCTGAGGTTGGTTTGTCTGTACTGTGCAGCGATCATCCTATATCGCTAGGAGAACCTCAGCACTTGATTCATGGTACAAGACTCCTCCCCTCAAAACACACTCCTGCACCCAGCAAAATGGCACTAGCAAATCAGATTAATCACTTTTTATATTACTTTTATATTTTTTGTTATATACTATCCATTTGTTTTACTTAAACAACAGCTTAGCTGGTTTGAGACTAATGAGATTTTTTGCTTTTTTTTCCTTCAAATAGGTGCTCGTATGCGGAATGTTCCTGTCCTGTTTAGTGACACGGATACAAACATGGCAGGAATGTATGGGAGAGTTCGCAAAGCTGCCAGTAGTATAGATCAGTTTAGGTAAGTGTGTCCTGAGAAAATACATTTTGTACTTTCTGGAATCCTTTTACAGTTTTCGAGTGGCACACTTTCTGTTGTGAACTGCTTTTATGAACGTAAAAGTAAAAAATAATGAAGCTAATATATTAAATACTGTATAAATTACCAAATATTGACCTAGTTCACATGTGCTTTCCTATGAAATTAATATACTTGGGCTTTTGCAGATTTATAGTCAATTATTTAAGAAACGGTCTTGTAGATTTTGATACAAGAATATCACTAAACTCTACCAAAACCCCTAACCTTTTTCATTACCATCCTGCCTCTTTCTCATTTTCAGAAGTTTTGACTGTCTGTGATAAACACTGTGAGCGTGTATCAGCGGACAAGTATCATGTACTTGAGGAGTATCATATTTTTATCATATTTTTTTATCATATTCTTTTACTCCTGTTTAGGGATCCTGATGAAGCAAGATTCTGGGTTCTGACCCAGTGCAGCTCTTTACCTTGAAGAATAATCTGTTTGATGAATTAGTAAACAAAAATAATTCTGGATCCAGCAAAAGATTTGCTTTGATCCCTTTTCTGAGCAGTTAGGTTAATTGTCAATATTCATACAAAGGTCTGCTCCAAAACTTGTACCAAATACCAATATAAAACAAAATTAGGTAATACTTAATCTTTTGAAAGCAAGATACCTTGATAGAAAATCTTTTTTGCTTCCATGGTACTTTAATGTCATAGTGAAGAATATCTGGATTTCCACAACTCGGAGCTATTATATGCCGTATTTTAATACTACATTTGGCAGTTCATACTTGCTTCAGTATCATAGAATCATAAAATGGTTTCGGTTGGAAAAGACCTTTAAGATCGAGTCAAATCATCAGTACACCCATGGGATTTTTAAACTGATGTTACAGCACAACAGTGTACGCATCTAGCACAGGATGCTTTGTAGCATTGTAGTAGTAAGCTTGGAAAACTCATGTCCTTGTCTTCTAATATAATGCAAGAATGGTAGTGATCTGACAGGTTTTTCAAAGGAATCCGAGGTTTTAGTTGCTTAAATCTTTTTGAAGGATTCATCACAGCTCCTCAAGTAACAAAATTTGGCAAATATATAGCATATTTGTGAAGTTTAAAATAGCTGTACAACTCTTGAGTCTTAGCTCTTTCACAAACTCTGAGCCTAGCATGTAACAGAAAAAAACAATGTTTCATGGTCTGAATTCTGAATTTGCTCATTCAGTTTAATGTCTTGAATACCTGAAGTAAAATTCAAGTCATAAACAAAGCCATGTGTATAACATCAGCTCATGTTTATGAGTTTGTGGTGATTAGAATGAGAGGAACAGGAATTTATTGCTAACGTGTGCATTTTGATTTTTTTCTTGTGCTTCTGCAGCATTCGGCTAGGAATCTTTCTAAGGCGATATCCCATAGCAAGAGTCTTTGTGATCATTTACATGGTGAGTAAGCTTTCTTTAAAGTGTGAAACTTTATGCAAGATTTCTATAGCCAGTGTATGGAATACATATGAAATTACAAGATGTTTGATGTTCAAAAGGCTTTATCATTAACAACTCAATGTATTTTTTTGTAAAACTGACTGAATAGTACTTACAGAACAGCATTTAGGAGTCATGTTACTTGGCAGTTTTCAGTTTTTCCCAGAAATTCTTAGTATTGCAGTCTTAAAGACATTTATGGAACTACCACTTAAAAGACTGGAAAAGGAGAGGCCTAGTATTAAAATACAGAATAATAGTGACCTGTTGCCAAGGTTAACCCACCACACCTGTATGCAATGCATTTAGGAAAATTACATGTTACAGTTTTTTTTATATTTGGCACTTCCCTCTTTGTTCAGTGGCTAACAATCACATTTCTCTGGTAACTGGAAAAGTAGCAAGAAAAGGTTTTGTTGCTAGACTTAAACAGTAGAAAGTTGCTCGTCCATACCAGGCTTGCAGTTGATAAAAATTAAATTCCTCCGTTTTCCACTGGAGGGCAGATGTTTGTCAGTTTAAGTGACCTGTGGTAAGTAAGGTAGGTGTGCTGGAAAATATTCCACTAGTTGAGCCTTTGGGTCTTTGAAATTAAAAAAGTGTTGCTTGAGAGGGCATAATGATTCTTCTGAACAGTTTCTGAGAGCAGCTGTCACTCTTTCAGGATATAAAGCAGACGGACACATGAATAAAGGAAATTACAAATTCCCCATGCAATTGCTTCTTCCAGCCCATTAAGTACTGGAAGGAACAGGGCTGTTGAATTCCTCACCTCTCTCTTTCTTCCTATTCATGACTTAGCACTATATGAATAAAATGCTTCTTACGGAAACACTGAAGACGTCTTTTGCCTAAGCTGCTATCCAAAGTGAAACTCGAAGGTGGTTGCACAGGAGCTGTATATTGGGCAGTCAGTGGCAGTTATCTTTTTTTTTTAGTTTGAACCTTGACTATGACTGCTGTAACTTGATTTTTTTTAATTTTTTATTATTTTTTTTAAGGAAACGTGTTGTATGTATTCTGTCACTAATCTCCCTTGTTGCGTACCCAGCAACTTCTATTCTAATTTCATAGTTTCAGCCAAACTTGAATGAAAATTAACATTCCTAAAACGTTCATAATAATGCCTCAAATCAGTGCCTGTGGAAAGGAGAAAGGAAGCAGAACTCAGTTGGTTTGCAGTCTGGTATCGGTCAGTTGGCACAGGAGCAGTGGCTTGCCAGCCACTCGAGGCAGATCACATAATGTGCTGGCTGGGGGCTGGATATCAGAGAGGACAGCTGGACTTGCTGGGGCATGGCAGAAAAGAGAAGCCAGAGGATATAAATTTGTAGGAAACCAGGATGCTTTATTTTAGCTGTTTGTGTAAAATCCTTGGTTTTCTGCAAATGGTTTCTTCAGAATCTGACTCAGCATTTCATTGTGCAAATAAGAGTTCTTTTCTTAGGAGTATCCAAATAATAGGAAAAGTATTAAATCAAAACATTTCTAATAAAAACTAGTTTTATAGCTCTCATTGAGAGCTCTCATATTTACTGCTGCTGTGAACAATGATTGTCAGTGCTGATAAGTTAATTTTTTCTTTTCTTTTCCCAGGCATTGCTCCATCTCTGGGTCATGATTGTTCTACTTACCTACACCCCAGAAATGCATCACGACAGTCCCAGTGGCAGATAGACAGAGACAGGACCACGTGCTGTGTAATGACATTCAGACCGGCAGTGACTTTAGCATCATCAATCCTGAAATATCAGCAAACCTTTCCTTATGGTGTTTAGGAAGAATGAAAACCATCATGCCTGATTTATCACTACTTTTCAAATACATGTATAATACTACATAGCTTTTTCAATTTACCTAAAAGAGCATCACTTTCCTGGAGAAATAAAGCTATTAAGCTAAGCTATGGTTAGCCTTTACATTTTACGTAGACCTTCTCATGGTTAGAGTAAAAGATAAGGCTTGCATCGACAGAGAAATGCAAGGATTTTTGAAATTACAGATATATATGGTACAAATTATTTTAGATCATACTGGATGTGGGCTATGGTCAAGTAATGAACTGTACTTGGCCATTTAAATAAACTTTATTCTTTCTGGTTTCTTTCAGTCTGCTTTTGCACTTCACTTTTTAACTGTAAATAATAGGCTTTTCCTTAATATGTTAAACTGAAAAAAAGGACAAAGGATTGGTGCAATATCTTTCTGTAAATAAGTTTAAAAATAAAATATTATGCATTATTCTTAGCTTTGTACTTCTAGTGCAATAGACGTATCTTATGTACCATCTCAGTAGTGCGGCTGCCTATTTAAAAGCTGGTATTT